TAGGCCATGAGTAGTAATAGTAGTGTAGTCACTAATAGTGAAGTGCTGGGGTATTTAGTAATCTGTAGAACGAGATATATTGTAATTGCTCTCTGAAAACGATTTGCAAATTCATGCGACAATCTGTTGTCAGGGGCGTAGCATGAAAGTCTGCATTTCAGAGAGCATTTTTTTATAGACATTGATAGTGTTAGTTGATTGTCCTCACTCTTTTTGTCAATCTTTTGCTCTCTTTTGCCTCCCTCGGATGTTTACAGAAGTGAAAGGCTTAAGGTTTCAGGAGAAGGTAGATTGGCAATCGGCATGGTGTGCTGATGTGATCCACTTTTACCAGTTACTTGAAGTGCTCTGCATGTTCAATCCTAATGCCTCACCCTACTTGCAGATGTTTCAAAGATCCTGTTTCTAACATGGACACACATATCTATTTTAATATATGTACTTGAATTTGTTCCAGTCAGCCTATTTGGCTATAAGTCGCTACTAATTTGTAGCATGCTGTGTGTGGTTAGCTTTCACTCATTTGAGGTTAACTAGCCACTTGACTGCATGTCTGCAAGTGTGACCGTATCCCCTGGAGTATTAAGAAACAACCTGTCCCTGTTATACTTGCCCTAGAAGTGAGCGTTTGTCATTGATAGATGTGGGATTTTTTTTGTGTGTAGTAGTTTAAGACTGGAATGTTTTATAAATCTCACTGTAATGCCTTTTCTTTCCTCTTACAGTAAGACCTTCAGGGAAGACCATCGGCCTGAAAATGTTCTTGTACATTGTCAACAAATAAATTCTTTAAAAAAAGTGAATCCTGATGTCTGAGTGCTAAATAAGAATTGCAGGATTTTAATGTGTAGGCTTGAAGCCCTTCTTTGTTAAATCATGTTTTTAATGTTTTAATGTGCTTTTAGACAAACCATGTGCAAATTCATAAATCAACACCTGAGTATTTTCTCCATAAAACTGCAGTGAAAAAAGTAAAAAAAAAAAAAAAAAACGATTTGAAATCGCTGGTGTTTCTTATGTCACAAACTATATTGTTAACCAATCACGTCAACGTGCCAGTGCGCTTGTAGCATATCATTAATTTCTGCGAATCAGGGGAGTCTCGAAGTCAGGTTATCCCAAAATATTTATTAGGACAAAATAAAGTTGATCGAGTGGTTCACTGAGCTGGTAAAGGTCAGGTTAATTTGCATATTGAGACTGTATACTATATGAAGCATGGGTGTAGTTTAAATGTCATCTTGGTGATCAAAGATGAGTTTAAGGGATACAATTATTGGCTAGGGGGACTTTGTTAAATGGCACAGGACTCCACTCATTAACACAAATGTTAAATATTTAAGCCAGGATTGATTGTGTTACACTTAACAGCAGTCAGCTATATGCAACGTAAACCTTGCACAACATTTTTTTTGCTCACTTGAGCGCTCCTACTTATTGCGGTCTTATTTATTTTGGACCATTAGTTACTTGTGGATATTTTGTTTCTGAGGCTTTTAGCCCTCGTTGCAGTTTTATTGTCATTCCGTTGTATGTGGAGACATACTAAGGAGTGAAATGTCTTGACTCACAAGACCACAGTGTTTCTATGTAAATGTTTGAATAAACATTAACCGAAACTACTCAAATTATAGAAAGGTTTTGAAAGGTTAATCTGACTATACACATACTTTACATAAATTTAGACGCACTTAAATTTATGCATGAAACAACAGTGCAGTGGTACAGAAGATCGTGAGAGTGCTTAAACTCGCGCTAGACCCAAGTTATCGACAGCTTTACAATGGTTCACACATACTCTACTCCCTTTCTGTATGCAGTTTATTCCAGTTAATATAATTTAAAACATCATGATAATATTAGCTATGTGAAGTCTCAATTTCAAAGTTCTTAGATTGTTATGTCTAGCCAGAATATGAATAGCAGTTTTCCTAAATACAAAAGCATTTGCATGTAGCCTAGTCTATTAATAGACATTAATAATTGTTATTACAATATCAAGTGCATTAATTGACAAAAAAGATCATGCAATTAGCAACTTCAGATGCAGCTTCATTTTCCATTTTTTTTCTTTTTTTCTTTTGCAGTGTAATAATGGCTTTTGATAATGATAACATTTTATTGGTAACAGTCTATGTAGTATTCTGGTTAATTAAGTAATTTGTTAAATTTAATTAATTGACTTAAATGACAAAACAGGTAATCATAAAAATTGGACTTTTTAAATAATGCCCCTGGGAATCATTTAGAAGGGGCCACTTAATGGAAAAGTTCGTTTCTGACCCAGGCATGGGGTAACATCTGGCAGTTGGAGTTTGTACTTGGGTGTCAGTTGCAGAAATTAAAAAATAAATGACTTTTTTTGAAAATTCAAATAGGGTTGCTGATGATTGATGGTTATATATCCAATTAGATTAATGGTAAATAGGAGGCAAAGTTGTTTTAAAAACTTTTTAGTTACTAAATTTTGTATTCCAAAAGTTTGTCATGCCACCTTGTAAAGTTACTGCCAGTGTTACTGGACACTTTACGTGTTATAAATAAATGGGCTAATACAATGCTAGATCATAAATCAGATAAATCACACCAATGTCCAGCAATCAATTTAAAGGAGTTGTTCACCTTTAAAAAAAAGTTTGCTGATAATTTACTCACCCCATGTCATCCAAGATATCCATGTCATTCTTTCTTCAGTCAAAAAGAAGTTTTATACATTTTCTGTTTTTTTTTTTATGAAAACATTCCAGGATTTTTCTCCATATAATGGACTTCAATGGGAACCAAACGGTTCAAGGTCCAAAAGACAGTTTCAGTGCAAACTGTTCAAAGGGCTTTAAACGATTCCAGACGATGAATAAGGGTCTTATCAAGCGAAACGATCGCTCATTTAAAAAAAAAAAAATAACAAAGTTCAAGTTTTATAAGCTCAAATTTTCGCCTTGCTCTGTTCTGTGATGTGCGTTCGTGACTCCTATTCGAACTCGTTCGTCAAAATGAACGAATCTTTTCCAGAGTCAACTCGTTAATTTTGTTTGTTGAATGAACCAAATGACACGAAAAAAGATTTGTTCATTTTGATAAACGAGTTTGAACAAGAGAGTCACGAACGCTCATCACAGAACAGAGCAAGAAATAAAACGTATTTAATTTGATATAACTATTTTTTTTAATGAGTGATCGTTTCACTTGATAAGAGATTGTTTTGAACTGAGCTCATGATTCGTGTGTTATATGTGTACACACACATACATACATATATATGATATGCCATAGCGCAGCGCAAATCACGTTGTATCTGAAGGGCAACGCTCAACTCATCGGCCGGCGCAGAGCATTCTGTGTCCTGTGTGAAAGGCACTTAAGTCATTTACATTTATTATTATTGCATGTGGTTTGAGGCATGCGGTAATTTAAAGTCATCTCGCGTGCTGCTTTGCAGAATCTGCTCTTTCTCTGTGCGTTCATGTGGAGGAGGCGTGGCTTTAGAGGCGCTCTGAAGGAGCCTCTCTGAAATGACCTACCATACCTTTAAATGTCTGGATGCCACAAACTGAGCAAGAAAACGCTAAACCAATTTTACCAGTCAACCTAAACTTACAAAGATTTCAGTGCAAAGCAATTGTCAGCTCATATCGATTTACAGCATTGCAGCCTGTTGTGGGTCCACGAAAGAACTCAAACCATTGGGCTGTGGTCCCTCGATCCGGCAGATGTATGATAGAAGACATGAATGGGGTTGTGTGCTTATATATACAATGTAGTTAATTTAAAGAATCTGTGTAGGCAGCTGAAGTCTTCTTATATATGTGTCAATGCAATTAATTAGCAGCACTGACCTGTTCAAGGTCTCCTGATGTGGGGTGGGGTGTTAACAGTCTCTGACAGTCTTGTGCAAATGATGTCTGCAGGGTTCCCATGTAACCACAGTAACCCCGGGCCCCTGTCTGCAGAGAGCTGTGTTGGCCTAGTGATTTGTGATTCATAAAAACAGTGAACCTGAGGGGGAAATCTGAAGATTGTGTGCCTTTGTGTTCCTTCCACAGAGCATTGCATTTCTCAGAGGAATATTTTATTGACAACATGCACAGGTGTATTGCAAAGCACTAAGCATGCACTGTGATTGTGATACAACACTTTTAGGCATATCACTGCATAATGTAATAGCATTGCCTATTTCTTTACACTAATTGGTCTCATTTGTAGATGCAGATTAAACAACAAACGATCTGCTGTTGTTTTCAATGTTTCTTTGGCATGTAGACTAAACTGAACTCCCTCCAAACAGTTGTTTAGGGGATGGATTGCCAAAATTGATTTATTAATATGGATATTATGCAACGGTCGTGCAAGACCTGTTCGACATCTTTTTTTAAAAGATTAGTTAATTAGCATGCCTGTAAAAAGCTATTAAATGTGCACACAATCACAGCTTGAGGATAACAATAGTGTTTCCCCAAGGATCTCAGAAGTTTGCATTGCACTATGCATTCATTTGCCTGGCAGATGTCCTTACCTTGGGCAATATGATTATAATTATATTGTGACGCTGCAAATGGCGGCGCTCTTTCCACGCAATATGATTACTGTACGACGCAGATAATCTGTTACACTGAACCTGATTGATTTCAAACCTCTACGTCAGTTAAGATAATACGTCAATCACTGCACTAAATAGCCCTCATAGCTACTCGCCCTCATGTCGTTAAAAACCTGTAGACTGTGTTTTTCTCCTAATCGAAACAAAAGTCAGTGGTCTCCGATGTTATTTTGGATATACATATTCTCTTCAAAATATATGTTTTATTCTGTAATTCCGTTGAATAAAAATAGCTAGCCTGCAACGACATGAAGGTGACTAAACGATGACTGAATGGTAGTGTTTTGTATTCCTGAACTGTCCACTTCGCGGCGCTGTTTGCCTGGTTTTGCGCATTGACTCGTTGCAATAATCAGTCACAAACACCACACACAAAAACACATTCCCTGCGGTGAGGCTGATTCAATATTCCACCAGCTGATTTATGCAGAACAATTCTCCACAGGAATGGCTGGAGCCAGGGAGAGGAGGGGGTAAAAACATCTCAAAAAAGACTGGTAAAAAATAATTATCTCTGGTGTCACTGTAGCAACAATCTTTGAGGCTGATGTCAATGAAATATTGAACAGCACAATCACTTTGAATGAGATCTGAGGAGGGCTGGCGGTGGGTCAGGCAGAGCCACAGGAGCGCGCGCTCAGAATGTTCCGGAAACGTGGGCTGAATGCAGAGCGGGGTGAGCACCACTGTCTGCAGTCATTTAATATGTCAAAACACTCCTGCTTAAACACGTCTGCGAACCTGGCGTCTGCCAGTTTGGGTTTTCTAAATGAATGTCACGTATGAGAAAGATATATCATTAATATCACTTTGAATTATATCTTCCATGCTGCTTTGTGGGTGGCGATAGTTGTAGCGGTACGTGTTTCCTTTTGCTCTGTATACACACACTTGAGTTTGTCGTAGTCTCTTTGCCAAGTGCTAAAGCTACTGTTTCAAATGAATGCTGTTCATTGAAATTTTCTATTAATTATCAGTTTCCGACTTTCAACTTTTTCAGCTCCGTTAATAAGAAATGTTAGCCTATTTGAGCACCAAATCAGAATATTAGAATGATTTCTGAATGGTCGTGACCGTCGTGTAAAAGAAGACTGGTTGCTGAAAATTCAGCAATGCCATGACAGGAGAAAAAATAAAATAAAAATCATTATAATAACATATATATAGCCCAGGGTATATATAATACTTTCCCCCCTGTATTTGTTCAAATAAATGCAATTGGTAAGCATTAGAGACTTATTTTCAAAAATGTTAAACCCCCACAAACTGCAGATGTATATAGGCTATATGCCTCTCAATTTAATGGTCCCAGTTAACCTTCGTTCATCTTCGGAACACAAATGAAGATATTTTTTATTAAATTTGAGAGCTGGATCACTACCACATAGGCACCCTAAGGGACTGAAACTTGACGGCCCAGAAAGTCATTGAAGAAAATGTGAACTCGCCAACGAGAGTTCAAGAGATTTCCACGACGCCTGCGCGAGAAAATAAAATAACAAGAAGGAGGAGAGTTAGATCGTAGTTCTCGCGCATGCGTCGTGGAAATCTCTTGAACTCTTGTCTCAGGCCTACAAGGAAGAAAAGGAATAGTCGAATAAAGTTGTTATTTTTTGGGGGAGGCTCCGCACAAAAAGTATTCCCGTCACTTGATAAACTTATAGTTGAGCCACTGTAGTCACATGGAATATTTAAACATTTTCTTCAATGACTTTTTGGGCCGTAAAGTTTCAATCCCTTAGGGTGTCTATGTGGTAGTGATCCAGCTCTCGAATTTAATCAAAAATGTGTTCCAAAGATGAACGGTCTTACGGGGTTGGTACAGCATGGGGGTGAGTAATTAATGATTTAATTTTCATTTTTGGGTGAACTAACCCTTTAAGAAAATAACCAGTGTCCTGATACCCGTTGTGGGATATGTAGGCCTGACTGAACGCTAACAGATAATTTTCACAGATGCAGAAAGGGTGGTGAATAGAAATTATTTCTGACTGAAAATACAGTAGGAAAGTCAAGGAGACCTAGTGTTTTGTTCTTCATAGCGCACTGAGACAGACGCCAAGGACGTCTCAACTCGTTCGACCTACTTAAGAGTTGGTCAAAGTAAAGTGTGTCACAAGCTCAGTTTCTCTGAGAGAGAGAGATAGATAGAGAGAGAGAGGTGATAAAGATCTGCTGTCAAGTCATATTGCAAGGGTCACATCACAACATAAAATTAAGTTTTCCTCAGGTTGTCAGCCATCGCCAAACCTCTTTAAATTTGTAACCTCAAGGACAGTAATCTGCATGCATCTTTTGTCATCAAGGACCTCTGTTTCTATGCAAATTTCTTTTTTAAAAGGTCATAGTCAATGTGATGACGATGCTAAAATTCAACTTTTTGCTGACAATTAGCCTTGAGTGGTTAAGCAAGTTAAACACTAGCCCGAGGAAATCAGACTTCTACCGGTGCATGAGAACAACTGGTTTTGTAACAAAGTGAAAATATTTATTGTCACTTTTTATAAATTGAAATTGATATATTGAAGTATTAATATCTTTAAAAATTTCTGGAAGGGAATCCTTAATTGATGACATATATATTATTATATGATAGATATTTGTTTTTAGTCAACATATTTTTGTGACAACATATAACTAAACAGGCCGTAAGTATTTTGCACAGAGACACAGAGTTTTTCTATGTTGTTAGGTTACCAGGTTAGGCTAACCAGACATCTTTTCAATACAGGTACAGTGTGTGGGCGCCCTTACGTTCGATATCTCCTGACCACCCCTGCATCTCGCTGCAAAGGTTACAGCGTGATCTCCCCGCAAATTGATTAAAGGAGTGTCTCACTCAGTCACAGTATAGTGCAAACAATCCAGCACCCATCAATAGGAAAGAGTCAGCCAGGTAAACTGCAGTGTTCAGGCAGTGCTTTTAACACAGCACGTATGGCCTTTTCCATTTTCCGTGCCTATTTCTTAACTCCCTGCAGCGTTTCGTCTCTGTTTCTCAGCTATTCACTGTCAATCCTCTTCTTATGTTTCCTTCGCTACACTTCAGACTTAAACCCACAGTTTCACAGACAAGGCTTAAGCCTAGTCCTAAACTAAAATGCATGTTTAAGATATTTTGACTGAAAGTCATGCTGACAGTGTCAGTGCCATTGTTTTGTCTCAAGATGCACAACAGTAATGTTTTTTTCTTCTTCTAAGGCATGCTTATAAAAGCTACTTAAATGTCAAAATTGAACTAAAGCCTAATCCTTGTTTAATCTAAGCCCTGTCTGTGAAACCAGGCCATTATATAAAAACGTACAGTTCTGGCAGCTGTTGCTTTGAATATTTTATGCTGTTATATCAGAGATAGATAACAGAGCAGAGGAATAAAACAGTTTTAGATCTACCCCTTACGAAAAAGAAGTATATTTCAAGTTCATTTTATGTAGTATACTTAAGTATTGTTCAAGTATATTTATAAGTATACATTATATAGTAAGTATACTAATGTCACTATGTACTGGTAGTAAACTTGTAAGTGTACTATTTTAATACCGCTTGGGGCTAAATTGGCCCACTTTTAGTACATAAAAGTATATTTTTAAGTGTACTATAAGTGTAACAGTAAGTGCACAACTAGTTCATAATTATGTATCTCATGTGTACTGCAAGTGAATTTATAGGTATACTAGTAGTTTACTTTTTTACTTGTACAACTATACTTTGAATACTCAATTATACTTTTAAGTATTTCTGGATCAAAAGATTGAGTACAAGAACAGGACAAATATACTTGCTTTTCTCTCAGTATAAGTCAAGTACACTTAAGTGTAATTTGAAGTATATTTCTAAGTACATATAGTATACTTCTGAGAAGTACAGGAAAAATAAACTGAAAGTATACTTTCTTATTTTTAGTTTAAAAGAAGTATACTAATGGCACACTTGAACAAACTTCTTTTTCGTAAGGGACATCAAGATGCACACACATTCTGACATTATTAATCATGTGTTTTTGGAAAATGTCAACTTTTTAAAGATTGTATAATTTTTATTAGCTTCAATCCAACAGCACTGGTACTTTTCACCGTTTGTATCACTCCACTTTTGTGTTTGTGAGTTTCAGAAGAACTTTCAAAAGTTTTGCGTTTCCCAAAAGCATTGTAAGCCCTTATTTCCCACACACACACTAAATGATTTTAGCCCCTTTTAAAGGGATACTCCACTTTTTTAGGAAATAGGCTCATTTTATAACTCCTCCAGAGTTAAACAGTTGAGTTTTATCGTTTTCAATAAATGCATTCAGCCGATTTTCTGATATTTAGAAGAATATCAGTAACCAGACAGTTTCTGGTCTCATTGACTTCCATAGTAGGAACAGTAAATGAAGATATCAGACAAAAGCCTTTGGCAGTTCGTCCCATCCTCTTGTCTTGAGTAAGACAGTGAATCATTCATGCATCCGATTTGTTAAAACAACACTCATTCATTAATAAATTGCGGCTGCACTCGAAATTGCATACTTCCCTACTATTTCGTAGGCGAAAAAAAGATTCTGAAGTGTGCATATGATGGACACTTTACAATCCCATGAGGCCACAGAGAAGTTTTACGAATGACAGTAAAGCGACGCTGGTCAAGTGATAATGACAACATGGCGAATGTAGTACGTCTGGATGCTACACACACATATTTTTTTATATTTAAAGGGTTAGTTCACCCAAAAATGCTGTTCCAACCCCATAAGACCTTCGTTCATCTTCGGAAAACAAATAAAGATATTTTTGATTGAATCTGAGAGCTAGATCAGTCCTACATAGACTGCCTAAGGGACTGGCTCTTGACGGCCCATAAAGTCATTAAAGAAAAGGTTTAAATATTCCATGTGCCTACAGCGGCTCAATTATAAGTTTATCAAGCGACGAGACTACTTTTTGTGCGAAAAAAACATAAATAACGACTTTATTCGACTATTCCATTACTTCCTTATGCGCGAGAACTGAGACGAGGACGTTCTCATTCGACCACTTCTTGTTACCGAATGCTCACCGCTTAGGAGTTTTACCGCCCCCTACCGTATAAAATGATGTGCTGATATAGCTGGAAGCGCAAAACTTTCTGTTTACAAGCAGAGGAAGATGCGCGCTGTACATACGCTTTTCAATTTGCGTATTTTCCGCACTATAAGGTGCACTTTAATCTTCTCAAAAAACGACAGTGTTCCTTATAATCCGGAGCGTTATCCGGAGTATATCCGTTAAGTCGTTATTTATGTTTTTTTCGCACAAAAAGTAGTATTCTCGTCGCTTGATAAACTTATAATTGAGCCGCTGCAGGCACATGGAATATTTAAACCTTTTCTTTAATGACTTTATGGGCCGTCAAGAGCCAGTCCCTTAGGCAGTCTATGTAGGACTGATCTAGCTCTCAGATTCAATCAAAAATATCTTTATTTGTGTTCCGAAGATGAACGAAGGTCTTACGGGGTTGGAACAGCATGGGGGTGAGTAATTAATGACTTAATTTTCATTTTTGGGTGAACTAACCCTTTAAGTCAATACTTACTTACTACTCAAGAGAGAATGCGATTTTGAACGCAGCCCAAGTCTTTCACACTACTAATTAATTCAGAAACTAATTCTAAACAAAACGAAAAAAAAAAACCAAGCAAAAAAAAAAACATATAAGCAA